GGGTTTAGGGTTAAGGGGACCCCAATATAGACCCGCCCAATAATATGTAATCCGGTTCAGGGCTTGGGGTAGAAAAGTGGGAAACCCCAAAGAAGCCTGGGATGTGACCCTCGTCACGAGTTTGGGTTGTTGAAAGCTTTCAAACCAACAGACCAGAAATCTTGTGCTCACAACCCGGCCATCCCATATACAACTTCGAAACCCGGCTCGCCAAATTGCCTGCCATCTTGGAAAGACAGCATCTGTTATCATAGGAGGCTGGTTTGCCTCTTTGGGTGTACAGGCTTTGATTCAGGGAGGTTCCGCTGTACCTTTTGGGCTTGGTAGCTTTGGGCTTGGATCCCTAACGCTACAGAATCTGGAGTTTGGCACGCAAAAAACCAAGGTTACAAACCTAAAGCGTACATGACTGAAAAGAAACCCTAGATAACCCCTACATAATCCTGACAACTCCCTTTGAACCCCTTCAATTAAGGGTACAAACTTGGTTAACTGCCAGGCTGCAAGGATATGGCGAGGGTCCACCCAGCGGCGGTGCAGAATATCGTCCTCCCCCTGTCTTGATTATTCCGGGAGTAAGTTTGATGTTGAAGGTTAAGGGGGGCCAGAAGATGAACAGCTTCCGCCACTATGTGAAGAATTCTTTTCACGGTAGCCTGCCGCCCCCTTCCCATATATGCAATACCTGAAGGGGCCTGAATCATTACCAATATTGCGGGCCTAGGTTCCTTCGATTTTTCGGTCTAAGGAAGTAATATTGGCACTGTTTTGGATTAGGTAACTCCCCCTTACAGCAACACTTAACACAAGCGGCACGAGGAGATCTAGAAGCTGCCCCATAAAACCTTTTAAGGAGCTGTTATGAGCTGCCGAGGACAGGTTTTGGGATGCACTGTGGCATTAAAGCCCGCGCCAGACCTCCGTCTAGGGTTTAGGGTTTAAGGCTTAGGGTTTTGGAGATTTTGGCTACGCCAACAAACTTGCCACATGCCTCCTCACAGGGCCCTAAACCCGAACCCCTAAACCCTAAAGCCTAAACCCTATTGCCTATTGCCTCCTCAGAGGGATCCACAAACAGGTCCGGATCCATTGGGCGAAAGCCAA